TATATTCTAAATTCTAGACCACTTACTTACGTTTACAGTGATCCATCAGAGCCATTCCCTCTCACTTCCTAACTGGAAAACGGTTAACATCCTTACCGCATCAGGCTGGTCATCTTAAAGAACATATTGTAAGTAGCAAAAGAATTTTAATTAAAAGATATTTGTATCGGGAGAAAATTTTTAATGATTTTTGGAGACGATGGAAAAGAGAGTTATCTTCTCCAATTAAAAGGTACAAATTGTTTCAAACCTGTTAATGTAACCACTGATTTTAATATAAATGATGTAGTATTGATAGGGGATGGCAAACTACCTCGGCAGCTGGGAAAGGTGATGGAGTTGCATAGAGGACGCGATAACAAGGTAAGAAGTATCACAATGAAAACTTCTTCATGTGTAATAGAAAAGCCTATCCAAATGCTATATCATTTGGAACTTGGAAAGAGATATGAATGATTGTTTACAGAATTTTCAAGTATCTATTTAGTATTTCTTTAGTAACTGAAATTCGTTACTTGTATTGGTTATTGTTTGATGATAATTGTTTTCTTTTCTGTTTGCATTTAGCTTGTGGTAGTTAGTACGATAAAATGTATAGTAGTAGCTAGTATGATGATAATGTCCTTTATATACAAAGTATTCATGCTATTTTGTATGCTACAAGTCTTGTAAGCGTATAAGATGTAGTATTTTGTTGTAAGATTTTGAATTTATGATAAATGCCTTTGTCGCTGGCCGGAGCATGTTCCAACTAAAATTCACTGAAGGGATAAACTGATGTTGGCTTTCCCCGCAATTCGGGGGGGTATATAGTTAGAACACACAGGAACGATAATATGGCAAGATTTATAGATCCGGCACTGTGCCGTGTATGATATTTCATATTTTTTTCAATCATGTTTGTTACTGTTAACAATAAATAATCAAAAGACAAGACAACTGCTGTAAATTAAATAATTGAACACTTCAAAACGAAGTCACCACAGGTATCAATAAATTAAATGTAATTTTCCACATACTTGAAAATAATGCAGGCACTTTCTTATACTAAGCCAAAGGTCTTTCTATCCACCACTACATATATTTACTCGCTTCATCATATACGAGTTCTAACTGCTTCTCTTGGCAAGTGACATTCCCAGCACCTATGCACTAATCCTGAAAAATGTTGCAAATGCGAAGAACTGCACAGAAGTAATATCTGCAATTTAAAAAAATGATGAAAAACCAACTTTTGCAAAGAATCACATGTTTGCAGTTATCGTGGATGTCCAGTTATCATGGAGACGCAAATTCGAGAAGAAGCAAGTGTAAAAACCAAAGATGACTATCCCCCAAAGCAGATGATTTCCCTCAACTCAGTTCATCCGAAAAACCTAAAGAAAAACCCGCAAGAAGCCTCTACAGTGAGAAAGCTAAATCAAGTAAAAGCTACAGTTCTGGAAGAATTCAATGAAGCAGTCCCTTGGCTACGGGATGAAAAAGTTCAAAAATTCTTAAGAACTATTATTCAGCATATCGACAAAATCAAAAAAGCAGACTATTCTTGAAAAATTAACAGCAGGATTCAAAGCAGCCATGTGCCTAGTCCAGATCACAGAAAATGAAGACTAGATGTTTATTTTCTCGTTATGCATGCAGAAATTTACTGGACTTTTATTTTATTTTCAATAAATTTTCTTATTTCGCAGTACAGCTCATCTGTTTTGAAGCAGCATCTCGAGAAGTATGTACTTCAGCGGTGACATCTCACGTGACTGGCTCCGGTGAATGATCTTCGACTATCTAGAGAGGATTTCTGCTACTGCTCCAAACTGATTTCCGTAATGTATACCAATTAAAAAGCATCGTTATTTATTGTTTTTAATTCTTGATCAATGCTTTCAAAAAATTTATCATACAATGCTACTTTTATTTGTAGTGTACTCATATATAAAAAGAAATAGATTATTTACAAGTTGTTTGTCAAGAACAGTTTTGAATTTTTTTAAACATTTGTCAAATTATAAATATTGAATCTGTCATATAAAATTATGCTTTCATTTTTAATTCAAAGTATCCTTTAAGAAAAATAACAGTTTTCATGCCTCAAAAGCTTGACTTAAAATATGTATTATATTTATATATAGCATTGTTCTAATATAGGTATTTTGACACAAAATCGGACTTCTTCTGAAATGACAGGCCAATTTTTTTCTATATTTCGGTTCTAACTCAAATTATGCTAAACTGTCAAGTTTTCTAAAAATCACACGAGTAGTTTTTAGAAAAATTAGCTCTAAAAATTTTAGCTCCTCAATGTTAATTGAATTTGATATATATTTATTAATATCTCTTTTTTTTTTTTTTTTTAACTTACTCGATTCCGTCTTCCAGAATTCGAAATTTAGGTTTATCCAAATAATTTGAACTTTTTTTATGATTTATTTTTAAAATTCCTATTTCTAAATAATTTTTATAAATTTTTTGAAAAACATTTTGAATTATAATCTTTATGTTTACTATCATCTTACAGTAGATTTACTTCTAAGCATACCGGCAAAAATTTAGAGATTTTTATTCAAAATGTCCCAAGATATATGTGAATTTACATTTTGACGTGTTTTGAAATTTGGCGTATATTTAATACAAGCCATAATAATAAAAATGTGGTTTATGCATTTTGTTAAAATTATTTAAAAGAATAAACAATGAACCTTTTTTCCTCTTGTGCATTAATGAAAATAAGAAAAGTAAGCAGGTTACTAGAAATTAAGAGTTCTGCCAAGTGGTGTAAATTGAAAAAAAATCAGTTTGGAGTAAAAGTATTATTTGCAGTAAAAACACTTCTCATCTAGCCATACAATTCAAGTTCAAAAATCTTCAAACTGCTTTTGCATATCCATTTTAAGTTCAATAAGATGAACACTGAATCTTTCAGCCTACTCTGGAAGAATATCATCTTCTAAAGCTGACAATTTGGGATATTGATGAAAATCCCTCTTCAAATAGATTATGATACGAAAAACGGCCCACTTTATCTACAAATGATGTTACAATATTTTAGCAAATATAACAGCTTTATTGGCTCCTTGAAGCTCCAAACTGATTTCCTTAATGTATACCAATTAAAAAGCATCGTTATTTATTGGTTTTAATTCTTGATCAATGCTTTCAAAAAATTTATCATACAATGCTACTTTTATTTGTAGTGTACTCATATATAAAAAGAAATAGATTATTTACAAGTTGTTTGTCAAGAACAGTTTTGAATTTTTTTAAATATTTGTCAAATTATAAATATTGAATATGTCATATAAAATTATGCTTTCATTTTTAATTCAAAGTATCCTTTAGGAAAAAATAACAGTTTTCATGCCACAAAAGCTTGACTTAAAATATGTATTATATTTATATATAGCATTGTTCTAATATAGGTATTTTGACACAAAATTGGACTTCTTCTGAAATGACAGGCCAATTTTTTCTATATTTTGGTTCTAACTCAAATTATGCTAAACTGCCAAGTTTTCTAAAAATCACATGAGTAGTTTTTAAAAAAAATTAGCTCTAAAAATTTTAGCTCCTCAGTGTTAATTGAATTTGATATATATTTATTAATATCGCTTTTTTTTTTTTTTTTTTAAACTTACTCGATTCCGTCTTCCAGAATTCGAAATTTAGGTTTATCCAAATAATTTGAACTTTTTTTATGATTTATTTTTAAAATTCCTATTTCTAAATAATTTTTATAATTTTTTGAAAAACATTTTGAATTATAATCTATATGTTTACTATCATCTTACAGTAGATTTACTTCTAAAATACCTGCAAAAATTTAGAGATTTTTATTCAAAATGTCCCAAGATATATGTGAATTTACATTTTGACGTGTTTTGAAATTTGGCGTATATTTAATACAAGCAATAATAACGAAAATGTGGTTTATGCATTTTGTTAAAATTATTTGAAAGAATAAACAATGAACCTTTTTTTCTCTTGTGCATTAATGAAAATAAGAAAAGTAAGCAGGTTACTAGAAATTAAGAGTTCCGCCAAGTAGTGCAAATTGAAAAAAATGCACGAAGATAAATTTATGAATTTCCCGTAAATTTCAAACCAAATTTTACAAAACTTAAAATTTATGCATAATTTGAGTCGTAGAATTGAAATATGGAAAAAAAATTGGCCTGTCATTTCAGAAAAAGTCCGATTTTGTGTAAAAATACTTATATTAGAACAATGGTATATATGAATTTAATATATATCGTAAGTCATGCTGAAAAACGCAATCTGAATTTCAGCAATCAGCCCAGTAGAACGGGAGAAATAGAACTGTCCCTTTTTTTTTTTTTTTTTCTTTTTTGTGGGGGGGGGGGGTACAGTGTACCATGATCATGATGGTAGGTTAAATTATTGCCACATTCTGGCATAATTTCCTATTTTATACTTCTTTATTCACATGTCATTTTCATATCTAGTCATATTCTAATAACAACAGAATCCTTTTCTTTAAAAGAATATTTTAATAATTGAAATATAAACTAGTGACGTGAAAACTAAAGTGCTTTACACAAAAATAATTGTTTCTAAAATTGTATACAAAATTTTGGGGAAATTAAAAAATTCATCATGTCCATAAACATTACACTAAATAGTCAAGTGGTAGCAAAATTACTTCTCAAAAATGCAGGGTACAAATTATTACTAACTAAACACCTTCAAAAATGAGATTTTAAAATAAGTTTTCTTTTCTGGATTTTAAAGCAAAATTGACACACACGGATTTTCTATAAAGAAAATACATGAAACCCTTTTCATAAATACTCCCCTTGAACTTGCAATTACTGTATGAATATATGGTTTATACAGCACAATGCCCTTGAAGTGAAAAAAAAAGTAAATATTGACGTACAAAATATGAATTCTTAAGATATTATTTACAAAGAATACTAAGTTAAAAAATAAGATAAACTATATCTTCTGGTAGAGAAATGGAGAGAATTAATGACACATAGAAATTCTAAAAAAAAAGAAATCTTTATTGAACATTTTGTAAGGTGTGGAATTGTATATTTAAAATATGAATTCATCAACTGGAAATATTTGTATAAACAAAAATATCATTGAAATTTCAGTATCACATATATAACACCAAACACAAAGAAAGAGAACAGCAGCAGGTACAGAATATATCGATTATGTCCAGCTTTAGCAAGCTTTACCACTCTGCCCATAGTAGAAGATAGAAAACCAGATGTGGAATCAAAATCATCATCCTGAAACGGAAAAATAAAACATGCAGTGAATCAAGTACGCATACACCACTAAAATGTTTTCATCATTTTCTTGTACTTTTATCACTACTATTATTCAAAATGTTAATTCCTATTTCAAATTATTATATACATATATATATATAAGAGAAAGAGGGTGAGAAAGAAAAACAATTGAAATTACTTGATTAGATTTGAAAAATGATTCTGAATTAATATATATATTATATATATATATACAGAAAGACTGTTAATACCCTATTTGACTTAATTATTATCTCCTGAATTATCTCTACATTTTTCTTTCTTACATTTCTATAATATAATCTATAATATATATATATATATATATATAATTTGTACAGAAATACAAGAGAAAAAACCTTAAATTAAGAATTTCAAATTTTTTAACCCTTTAAAGGGCACTGGTATATAATATATACTGGAAGTTTGTCAATTTTTTAACCTCTTAAAAAATACTGATTTTTCTACATCAGAAGCTGTAACCTTAAGTGTCTGGTGTTTCCTCTTGATTCTAAATGGTAGCACTACCCCATAAATGCTCAATATGTTGCAGTTATGAAATTAAAATACCTAGTTCAAAGGTATCATGTTTGAAGATACATTTGAAGATTAAATTTTATGCTACACTTCCCTTCCCTTCAAAAAAAAAAAAAAAAAAAAAAGATATGTTTTAATGTTAAAAGCGATTTCTTACTTTCTCAGAAAAAAGCTCCATGCATTAAAAAAATCCCCCGATTTTTAAAATATTAAAATTGGAGAGTATTACACATTTAAATGTCACTGTAATACAAGCTTTTTTTTTTTTTTTTTTTTTTTTTTTTTTTTCAAAATTTTGATCTTAAATAGTCAGACAAGATGGAAATACAATAAATATCACTTTCTGACAAATCTGATTTTAGGTCAGTTATGTACACTACATTAAGCTAACCCAACTACCCGGCTATTAATAAAAGAGTCATTCCACTTGAAGTAGCTCAAGACAAAACTAAAGAAATAGTAAATACTTTTCATCTAATATTCTATACTTCCAATAATAACAGTAAATTTTAAAAACCATAGTATATATACAGTATTTATAACGGATATATATTTATATTGAATTATTAATATTCCTATCAGTAGCCATTGTGAAAGTCCACTCCTGAAGCTTTTCTAATTTTAAGATTTCTCAATGCAATTTCCAAATTATGTAATGCAAAAGAGGAGACAAAACAGCCCAGGTTTTACAGACTCATTTCTTTTAGAATGCAGAAGAGTGAATATATGAATATTAGCATGTTTAGCCATCTTACGAACATAAACAGTTTTTCTTTGGTTTTGATAAAAAAAAACCATGTCCAGCCTTTGCAATAGATTCATTAGGTGTTAAAATGCACAAGGGTTCTTTCTCAGATGGAGAGTATTTATTTTGAATTCTTGCAAGGTACTTGTCTGACTTCAAGTTCTTCTAGTGTCTGACTGTCTGTTTTACAATTAATCTTTGAAATAAGTTTATAAAAAGCTACCTGCTTATTCTCAAGCAAAGGTTTTTGTAAAAAGTTCAGATTGTCTCTTTCATTGTCTAATTCAGCTTTATTTCAAAGGTGATCTCTCCTTGCCGTTAACTTCCCAAGTTCCTCGCTCCAGAAACATCAGCATAACCCAACTCTTCTTATATGGATTGCAGCCTTTCCATATACAATAACAGACTTGTTGAAAAGGATAACCAACTTATATGAATGACTCGACCGAGTAAAATTAAAATTCTTCTGGCAAGAGATTTGTCAAGCCCTGATGCAAAATCCCTCTAACTTACTTGTTCAAATTACTGTTCTTTTAGTGTAGTTTCCTATATCAGCAGTTACACCTACAATATCAGAAGAAGTCGTATGTATGCGGATCCTTCTTCACTGAAAATTAATTCAAAAGGGGGTGGAATTTAATAAGTCTTCACTACCTGTGCCATTTAAATCTCGATAATCCAAAGTAGTAGAATGGGCATTTAAATCACCAACCAATATTGTTCTGTTTTCAACATCTAGAACTGACAAATCATGCTATTATGTAAATATAAAATAATGTTAAAGATTTAAAGAGTCTTTTCTTCATGAAGCATAAGCATTCTGTGTGTAATTTTAATACATTTGCCACCAAATTTCATCAGAAATGACTAATATGGTAACAATTACCTCATCAAGAACTGGCATATGATTAGCTATTAGATATCAGGTACATGATATCACTACATCATGTGCCATTGTGATCAACAGCAAATGTGTTAAGAATCATACAAACAGTAAATAAGCAATTGGATATAACAGGAATAAATACAAATACATATCTGTAATACTGTTATTGTCTAGAAGTTAAATTCACAGCTAATTCATAAATAAGAAAAGATACAGCATTTCCTAATACTTTAAATAAAATATTAAATTTTTCCATTTTTTAGGGAAAATTAATGGATAAAATCAAAGCAAGCTCAATTAACATAAACATCTGTTGTATCTACAGTAATCAGTATTCTATTAATAGACATTTTCACCCTAAAAAGTTTAAAAAAATAAAGAAGTAAACATATCAGTCAGCCATAAAAACTTTCTGGTTATAAATGATAAAAATATTTACCATTTCCCTAAGGACTTGATTCTGACTTCGTACTTCATGACCAATATCAATGGACAACTACAAATCAAAAATCATATTTACTCATACATTAAAATTTCACAAAAATACTACCTTAAATATTATTATTGATATTACTTACAGTTTAGTAAACTGCATGCACAGAGTCACATATCAGATTATATACACAAGTATATATTTTAATACAATTTTTAATTATGCAAACAAACTCTTTGACTTTTTGCTTCAAATAAATTAATAATCATAGCACTAAATTATTTAATCTTTGAAAAATGACTATGATAGCTGGAAATTTATTAACTTCATTTTACTTCAGTGTGAAGCTTTTGACAACATAGAGTAAGATTAAATATAAAATGAAATTTTAAAACAAATTAGGACAGCTACCTGCCATAACATTGTCCCCAAACTTCAATTCATAGCTCAGTGTCTTTGCATCATTAAGACACTTAAAGTAATGTCAAGTCAAAAGTCCACTCAAAAGGTTGGTAATAGAAAGGCCTTAGATTTTTCAAAATTGGATAGATGGTCTTTCTAAGCAGGGCTTCTGTAACTTCCAGTAGTTTATACATCTGCTGTATAATTACCATAAAAGCTGCAGGACTCTTATATTGATTGTTCTTTCCTTTTAGGTGACTGTAAAATTACCAATAATATCATGGATTATTGCTTTCTCAAAAATTGGCAAAAATTTTGGTACTTTATACGAATATCACCACCCTTCTTAAAAGAACTCACAAGTACCATGCTATGTCTGCAAAATAAGCTGGTCATGATGCCCCCCAAATGTATTTATGAAATAACTCCAGTGTGCAGGCACATGCAATAAATAAGCAAGGATTTCCACCATCAAAGGCAAAGTGTTTGTTTTTGTTGCAGTGAATGCAATATTTTTTTTTTTTTTTTCAAGTAAGAAATCGTTATGAGATAGTGGATTTGACTAATGACAAGCAGTTACCTTCAGAAATATGTTTTTTTCCTTAACAGTTAAGAATGCAAAAAATCCACATTCCATGAAGATATACTTTGTAAATGATCAAATTTCATGAATCAAAATTTGTGCACTGATGCGTAGTTTGTGCAATTTTCTGATGTTTCTTTCAAGCAAAAACAGATAGTAATGTATACATGAGAACAAGAGCATGTGCAATGCCACATTTATACGATTCCGTAATGTTTTTAAGGCATATAAAGATTGCTGTGTATATGGGAAGAACAAGAGTGCAGAAAAAAATTACATAAGGATTTCTTCAGAAAAAGTAAGTTTTTTTTTTACAAATGTTTCTTGCTTTTTTTTTATGATACCGATTCATTGCTCTTTTACAGATTTCTTAACGTGCCACAAGTTTTTAAATGGCTGTTGCCATGCGCATTAGCAGTTTGGCAACAAATTAATCAGCAATGAGCTGACGACTTGTTGGATATGGGTGCAGATAATCAGAAAGTACCAAAATGGACTATAAAATACACAGAAATAACATAAAATGTTACTTTTAAGTCAATTTGCCTGCAAATCAGGTTTTATTTAGTGATTTTAATTTAATCTAGTCTACCTTTTTAATTTAAAAAAAAAAAAAAAAACTGCAGATGTCTGATGCAGAAAGAAATATTAGTTTTTCCTACTTTACAGATATCAACTATGAAGCCCCCCCCCAAAAAAAAGCTTTTTCATGAATGAAAGCAGTTTATCTTCCTTTTTATTTAATGTTTAGCTTATGAGCTTATTTTTTAATGTACTTTGAAAAATACAATTTTTTAGGCATTATTGATACTTAGTTTCTAAATATGGATGCAGCTCCTCCAACAATTTCATGAATTTAATTGACATTGTTTGTTATGCAGATAGTACATTCCATATTATGAATATGTGTACTCAGAAATCTCAATGTTAAGTACTCAACAAAGTATTCATGTATTTTCTGCAATAGCTCAATCAACTTACTTTCTTCATTACTGATACTCAAAGTTTGTGCTATTATTGCTACAATCTAACTCAAATTTCAATTCAGTTTTCAAAAAAGTAATGAAGTTATATGTTATCTGGAACATGACACTATTTTAGAATTGGTACTTAAGTGGTAACACAATCATCATACTAGAAGTCACCAAATTTTTAGAATGTACCACACTGTGGCAACCAGGGCTGTGGAGTTGGAGCTGGAGTCGCTAAAAACAGGTCGACTCCAAATCGAGTTTTCGTGGGACAGTTTGAATTTGAAATGAAATTAAAATGAATTGGAAAAAAATTAATGACAAGCTGAGTTATTATTTTTATTTATGTACTATATATATTAATAAATAGTTATTTTCTATTTTATCGACATATTAATAAATAAATATAAGGTAGGAGGATGGATGTGATATTTGCCATTAGTGATTAAACTCATTCAGTTACAAATTTCACTGGTAAATTTAAGTAAGCAGCAATAGCAGCAAGAGCTCCCAAAACTGATGCCATTCTTAGGAAGTGAGCAGGAAAAGGAGCAATTAATGATCAAGCAACGCAACAAGGAAATTTAGTAGAATTTGCCAGCAATGGAAGAAAATGCAGTAAAATTTCTTCAAACACAGAATTTTGATGCCAAATCTCTATATGGAACAATGAGGTGATGCCTCTGGTAGATAGCCGATGTTACTGGAATTTGATTTTTTTTTTTAAATTTATTTATTTATTTATTTATTTTTTAAAGCATAAAAGATTGCTGTGCACTTAGGGAGAAAAATAGTGAAAAAAAAATACTGAAAGATTTGGAGATAAAATTGAAATGTTTAATGTATCATGTTATACTTATTTAATAATTAAATTTTGTATTTTAAATTACTAAAGTATGTTTTCTTTTCATATGCTGATAAAGTCTGCCAACTTACAAACTTACAATAAATATCGATAGTTTGGGAATTTTCTTAAAGAACTCTTGTGTAAACCGCCAACTTGCACTCGATAAGTAACTATTACTATTCTATTTGTAAAAAATTGCCAAACTGTGTCAATGTGGTTGCATAAGTACTTTATAATCGTTGTACAGCTGAACTCTTAAATTCAAATTGCAGGCAGATCAAAAGTCCAATCTAAAAACAGCCAATGGGCCAGAAATACTTTTTTTTTTTTTCAGTTTTTTTAGCAAAAAGAAAATCTTTTATCAAAAAATATTTAATTTATAATTATGTTCCCTACATATTTATTTTAGAACATACATAAATAATTATAAATTAAAAGAAATTAAGATTGTATATTTATTTTCTATCTGAAATCTTAAATTTGGTACCAGTAAAGCATTTTTGTTAGTTTCATTTTGTAATCCAAATATAATGACAGCTAAGTATTAAATTTTAAGACTAACATTATTTTTTCAAATGTAGTCTAGAACCCTTTGTCCAGAACTGCTATGTTCAAGGATGGATTTGTCTAACCTTGTCATAACAAGCATGTGAATTTTACAATGATTACGTTTGCCACTGGCAAGAGCCTTGAACACCATATAGGTGACAATACGACTTTACTAAAAAATTCATAACTAAGCATACTTATGTTTTGAAAAAAAACTAATAAAAATTAATCCAATTTGTATCTTCAAATTTTTGAATAAAATTTATATCACACTATAAATTAATTAGCTCAAATTAAAGATTTTTTCCTGCATTATTTATATTAGCTTTTAAAAGAAAATATTTACTCAGATCTAAATGAAATCTTCAAATTTCTGTAATAACCTATTTGCAACAAATACATAATTGAAAAGCATTTGCAGGCTGCATAAAATTGTATCAGAGGCCACCAGTTTAAGACCACTGATCTGCAGTACATAGATAAATTCCACCCCCCCCCCTTTTTTTTTAAATCTAAAAGTCTTTTTCAGGTGAGGAAATAGTTTTCTTTGAAGGTTCTTATGGTAATCAAAAACATATTTAGTTTGTTTCCTGCCTTTATTTATTTTTGTCTACTATATGATTCAATTTTTTTCTTTAATTATCACTGGTAATATTTCATAATACCTTTATGCCTACAGAGACCAGTTTAACAACTGGTCGCTCAAAATCTCACAAAACATATTTTGATACCCCTTCCATACATCTGCACTTAGAATAGCTGAATTAATATATTATTATTTAATTAAGCCCCCATCTTTCATTTTACAGAAAATTGTCTAACTTAGCCTTAATATCTTTATTTTAGAAATACTATGCCAGTCAGTAAATTTCTACATATGAACTGCTAATTAAAAAAAAAAAAAAAAAAAAAAAAAAAACCCTCCAACCTAAATATTTTTAAATAAAGAACCAGAACTACTCTGATATGCGCCCTCAAGTCGCCAAATTTCGTGGCAAATATTTTTGGCGAGAAACTTCACGCTGCCATGTTACTATCTAAATTTTTTGTCTACATTTCGAACTTTTAGCCTAAAATGTCTCCAAAAACTACGTTTTCAACATACAATTTAGCTAAAAATCCGAAACAAAAACAAAAAATTTAGATAGCAAAAACGTAAAGTTTCTAACCAAAAATATTTGACGAGAATCCATGTACACAGCGACATGTTTTAACTTAAAAAAACATCTACGAATGGCACAATCTAGGCAACGAACGAATCTACAAACTACGCACACCTCGCTTTAATAAATTAACATAACAACAATAAATTTCAAAGAATACCATGTACACAGCATCCTGTTTAAATTTTAAAAAAATTCTACGAATTGCACAATTTAGGCAAGGAAGGAATCTACGATCTACGAACTCCTCACTTTAATAAAATAACATAACAACAATAAATTTCAAATAATAACATGTACACAACATTCTGTTTCAACTTTAAAAAACATCTACGAATTGCACAGTCTAGACACTAAACAACAAAATAAACTAAAATAAATTTCAAATAATTTAAAAAAAAAAAAAAAAAAAAAACAATAACGACAGAAATTCATACTAAAGAACCAATGAACAAACATTCTACAAAATAAGAACAAGGATAAAATAAAATGCACTTACCATGAATTAATGCGTTTTCGAATAGCAGAAATATAAATTTCATACCGCCTTTAACATGCTGCCACGTAATCACTATCGTATTTACATGACAGCCAGACACACTATCCAAAAAATTTATACTATGGTTCACAAATAAATAAAATCACAAATCCCTACTTCTATCATGCACTGCCATTAAAAATAATCTCCCAGACCCTCTTTCCACACTTCCAAATGCCCACTACCCCTCAACAGGATAGCCACAATGATATTTCCTTTTGCCGAACTTCAATTCAACAACTACCATTTTATCTTTCCCTCCCATCTTCTCAGACACAGAGGCGAATCAACGAGCTCCAGCGAAAGATTTTTCAACGTCAACAGGGTTGCCATAGAACACGCAATCGTGCCAAAAACCAGCGCAGAACACATATCGCCACATTTGGTGGAATTAGGGCGTATATTAGAGTTGTACCAAAGAACCAAATCCATAACATTAAAATTAAAGAGTTTACTACTACACAGAACCTGTTGACAACAAGGCATTTCTTACTTGTCAAGCTCAACAATGGTTTGGGCAGCACACTGTTAAGCAAACGTTAAAGCAGAAAGGTTTTTTTTTTTTTTTTTTTTTTCACTTAAGCATATATAAATCAAATTTAGACTGGAAAACATGAGATTTAGTGTATACACATTAAATGTAGGAGAAAAAGCTTACCCTATGTAAACACAAATTAGCTGGCTACACATTATATTTAGTACACATAAATTAAAGTTAACATGGAAAACCCAACATGATATTAAGCATATGTAAGTAAAAATTAGCTAGGTAAATATAATATTCAGTACATATTCAAGTTATCAGACGGGAGGAAAAACAATATAAAGCATATGTAAAGGAAATTTAGCATAACAGAATAATGTAAATATTATTAAAAGCAATGAAACTAATTCTTATTAAAAAATTTTTAAAAGCATGTGTATTAATATAGAAAGATTTCTGTTTTTCCTTAGAATTATGTGTCCCTGAAAATGGGCAATTCTTTGAAAAGACAATGATGTGAAAACTGTTAAAGACATATTATCCTAAAGGCAAACAGTCTTAAATTGCACTAAAAGTTTCTATGAATAAATCTTGGTAATTATGTTTACTTTTGTTCGGAAACAAATATTAATGTAAGTAATCTGCTACAATTTCTTTGTGAAGACTACTACTTGTAACTTTACTTTTCAAAAAAGAGAATGAGAAAAATCAGACAAAACAATAATAGACTGTCGATTGAACTAGTGTTCATTTAAGAATGCCTAACCCAGGGTAACACATAATTTTCTAACAATTAATAGCACAGCAAAATTTAAGCTATCAGGTATCCAAAAAAGTTCCTGAAGTGAAAAGCGATTTCAAACAGGAAGTGTCAGGATGACTTCAGATGTTAACATGCCCATCAACAGAGTGTCAGTTCAGAGCTGTACGGCACATCAGTCATGTCTGTAGGAAGTACAATTCTGAAGTGAGCCTGTTAGTGTCGAAAGACCATGTCGAAGGGTGCACAAAATTACTGTTATTACTAACTGAAAACTATGGCCTGAACTTTTTCGGATACCCGATATTTAATATTTAAACATTTTTCAAAAATTTCAAAGATGATATAGAAGTATGATGAAAAGTCAAATGAAAAATAGCAACAGATAGTGAAATTCCATAATGATGAGTAGTTTCAAGACGCATCCATCATGGTTCCCATCTAAATTCCCATGAGGTAAAGTAATGTTGATACTGAAGTCACAAATAAGCATTAAAAGCAACCTTCACAGTTGGATGGAAGTGTGAGAAATTTCAAGCAAATGATTGCCTGGGGGAAAGGGAACACTTGTTTTATTGCTACACAAATTTAGAGGAGTGGATTGGATTATTCAATTATTGCAAAGCACATGAGGGCTATCTGCCTAAAGGGAGGGATGCCTTCATGGAGGACTTTTTAAGGGAAACTGGCTCGTATACATGTTACACATAGATAAAACCATGAAAACGCCCATGCAGCCAGCCCATTCGCGTTAGAAGAGTGACAAATAAACTAAACTGGTTAAGGTATATTTAAGGATGTCCCTTGGATTATCGTGAAGTTGTTGTTTCATTTATCACCAAGTTGTTGTTTCACTTACGGTAACCTGAGTAGTTGAATGTTATGGAAATCCTATAATGATGTGATTGGTTGCGTGATTGCGTAGAATTTGACCGACAAGAAAATACTTGTTGGATGCGAGTTAGGAAGTATGTCGTGTATTGTGTATCATAAAATGGCTGCCGGTATTAAGGTGGGTGTTTGGTGGTATAGAAAGAGAGTGGTAAGCATGGAAATTTCTAAATAAGGTAAGTGGATATTTTCTTTATGTAGTGCTTAGATGGTATAAGATGAATATCCTTTTTTTTTTTTTTTTTTTTTTTTTTTTGTTAGTTCATTGTTTGATTTAAAATGTAATTTATTGAGATTATATATTTTTTGTTTGGCTCTAGTGTAGATTTGGGTGATCCTTTGACTTTCTAAGAAAAAATAGATTGATGAGTACATGGAAAAAAGAAGTGCAATTCTCTGATTTTTGTTTACATGAAAATTGGTCACTGTATACATGGATACCGAGTTTATGCAATTCTTTGACTTGTTATTTTGGCTCTGTGCAGCGGCGATTTTTAACACAAAAATCGCCACCTTTGAAATGTTATAGCAATTTTTGTCAATGTTTACATTTACTTTCAATTCATGAGGGTTTTCAAAGATAGTGCCTTAAAAACATGATAAATACGCTTGCTTACCGACTTCAAAGCAGTGATTTTCGTTTTCAGGCCATCTACCAAATATTCGTTTTCTTCTTCTACCGAATTTCTGTCATATTCAGCATACGATTCATCTGAAAAATATTCATATCTAAATAAATCAAGAAGACAAATAATTAATCTTAAATCAATGAGACAACACTTATAAAACTCTCCAACAAACAGAATAAAAGTCTCCACAAAGAAACACATTTTTGATACTCAACTTCAAATCTTCTGAAGCTATGGAACACAAGAAAAGTTTATTACATCATGGGAAGTAATTTATCGATAGAAATGAATGAGAGATGGTAATACTGTAATCGTGCAAATGTCACGACATAGAAATAGTCATTTACCAGTAGATCCTCATAGGAAATTCTAAATTAAAATAAATATCGGGCAACAATTTTACATACAAATATTTTGACTAATATATCTTTCATAAATTATAAGAAACAAATATTCCAAAAGAATGTATTCTCAATAAAATTGTTATTATGTCCACTTAACATATTGCATGACATACGTCAGCAGTTATGTAGCTTACTTACTAATATGCCCGCGTCGCATACTGTTTAACGTCTACTATAATGCTACACAATTAATAAATCTCGATCTCATATTTATAAAACTGAAAACTGTTTAACTCAGTCAGTAAAGAAATCTTTCAGTTAAACTACAAATTACTCATCCAAACTCATAACCACATAACGCGAAAAACAAATATACTAAGCTGACGACGTATTTTAGAGTTGAGTGAGAAGAGAACTGCTTATTGGTTAAATATTTCACAGAACATAATTATATATTAAAAATTAATTTTGGCATTCACTTTGTTTTCACAATGTATCAAAATGCAATCTAATTTATTCGCATTTATATTTCACTCACGGATATTTATATTTTAATAAAAAGCGAAACTCTTTTGACATTTTTTTGTATTATATTTTCCGACAACATTTCTACTCAACCTTATATTTGACTTGAAGTGAAGTAATCATTACGCGCCTTATTTAAGGGTAGTACTTAGTAAGTTATTTATTATTACGGTTACTTTCTCTGTAATATGTGTTCTGTAAGTAGGTTTTCTTTGTTTAAATTAAGCAATGATATAATCTAGCTTTAAATTTTGTGTCCATCTGCAAATTGAAATTGAACTGTACGAAACATCAGGTACTAGTAGTAGGTATCAGGTACTAGTAGCAGGTATCAGTAGTTGTTTCATCATGGTGAGACGGTGTTTCGTACTAAACTGTACTACGGGAGCGAAATTAAATACAGAGAAAGTATCGCTTTTCAAAGCACCTCGTGATCCTGTGTTATTCGAAAGATGGCAACTTGCTGTTCCATATAAAGGTCGTAGTTTAACGATGAAGGATCGTATTTGTGAAAAGCATTTTGAAAAACGTTTTATTCTACCACGTTGGCAAAAATCTGTGACTAATGGTGACTTTGTGAGTGATCATTGCAGACCAAAGTTAATTCCTCAAGCAGTTCCATCAATTTTTCCTGGAGTTCCTCAAAATATATGTGCCAATAATTTTAATGTAAACAATAAGTGTGAAAAAAAAGTTTTAACAAATGCTACTAACAGCACGTTTATGGTAAAAAATGTTGTTGACAATAGGCTTATGGATTTAACCAATACATTTATCAGTGAAGTAGAGGTGAATGATTCTGATTGCGTGCAAATATGTTATAAATGTTTGACTGGTGGCTGCCTCACTCATATAGTATTCAATAGCTTCTAAACTTTTTTTTTTTTTTTGATTGGACTGCAATGTGTATTGAAACTGATGTAAATTACAAGCTTTAATATTATTAATAGAAATGATCTTTTGTGTTTATAAACCTACTGTATGTACAAATTAATGTATGTGTCTCATCATTTGTAATGCTTTATTGTTTGTGTAATTCTAAGATTTGAATTTATTTTGAAGTTCTATCAACCTTATGAATTTAGTACAAGGTAATTTGACTGCTTTTCAATTACTCAATATGATATTTAGTTCTATTTGCAAATTGTAAACATTTTATGTTAAAAATATTAAAAGTATTTTTCATATTTTAGCCTTTTCTTAATCCAACGTATATTTGATTAACATTATTTTTTTCTGAAATTACATGGTGCAATTTTCACACTGAAAACGAGATTTGAATATTATTTGGGGGGGGATATATTTCAGATTACCCCTTCATGAAAATTTGTGATTTTTTTGGCGTTTTCTGTTTACATGCAATGCCCTCCGAAGTAAAATAGCATCCAAAACATAATGCAATAAAATATTATTACAACATAAAGTTATAATCTCAATAAACTACATTTTAAATCAAACTAAAACAAGGAAATAATATAAAAATGGAAATACATGTTATCTAATCTATACAGTGCAAAAAGAGGAAATATCGGCTTACCTTATTTAGAAATTTCTGTGTGTAGCACACAGAATTTCTTAACAGTATCCCAAAACTGTTTAAAATTATCTGACTGCCGATTTGCCATGCAAATTCACAAAAGTAAAAATACTTTTCGGTTGATCTTTACAATATGGTAACTGGTAGTTCGGCGACATTTTGGAGGCGATAAAGGTTACTACCTGGGACTTTGGTAATAATGTGAGCAGTACTCAGTTCCGATTACGCATTATTTTGCGTGAGGGAAATGAGAGATCATGGGATATGTCATGTGATATTAATGGACGAATTACGGTTCTTTAATCGGAAAAGGGGGGAAATCGGGAAAAAATCTGGAAATTTTGTATTTAGCTTTATTCTGTGTTGTGTGAAACACTGTTGGTTAATTTTTGGATTCCATGGCCCTGACTAAAGTGAATTCGAAATGGGTATTTATGCATTGTGATAAAGAGAAGTTTGCTTTTTATTTAGCGGAGGAAAAATTCGCAGAAAAAATCTTTCAATAATTTTATTGAATGAATTAGAAAAGTGTATCCGCCACGTAATAAAGATTCTGAAGAAGATTAGGTAAGTTAGTATTTTTAATTATTTGAGGATATTATTTTTATGCATTGTTCTAAATGTAAGGTGGAAAGGAATTTGGTATTATTGGGAAAATTGTTATTAGCAATGATTTAGTTTAAAGTAATTAGGATTGTAAGGTAATTTTTATTAATTTAATGTATGTGCTCATTTATATTTTAAGTAGTGTTTTTGAATTTAATTATATTTTAATGAAATGATAGTTATTTTGTGAATTTTATGTTTGTAGGAATTTGGTATACGTTTTAGTTGAAGTAAACGTGCATGGAAATAATTTAAATATCTGACACTAAGTATTTGTAATGGTTGCGGTATGAATTCGTTGGTGACGTTTATAATATAATAGATGATTTAGAGGTAAAAGTTTTTGGATATTTTATTTATTTTATACGTGGAAATGTTCATAATTGGAAACGGTAAATACTTTTTCGCGATCAGGTAATTTCATATACGTTCTTTTAACCGGGTTTAAAGATTGAGAAAATTGTCGTGTATTTTCGTGAAATTTTTCTAATTTATGAGAAAAAAGCAGTGTACATGGATATAGTGAAGAGTGTGCGCAATGCCATTTTGTGCAATTCTGGGATGTTTTTTTAAGTAAAAATAAGTCGGCGTGTACATGGTTTATGTGTATGTGTTATTCTGAAAAATGTGCAAGGAGTTTGCTATTGTGCACTTTTTCCCAATTTTGAAGTGAATATTTGTCATGATTAAGCAGTTTTGTTTGATAAAATTTCTAGCATAAGTGTAATTCGGCTAGTAGATTGTTGGAAGAAGTGTTCAGTAGATAAAAAGAAAAGAAACATGTCTTTACTTCGTGAAGACAAAATGGCGGCGGGGAAAAAAAAATAGAGGGTTGCTGTAGGAGAGTTGGTTGCCAAATTTTCGCCAAAAAATCGCCAAGTTACCATAATGTAAAGATCAACCTACTTTTCATACTGTCGATAGCATTTCTTTTGAAAATTTCTTTATATTACACCCCACGTAACTTCCGTAGTGCTGATATGAACTCTGGTTCCAAATCATTAAATCTCACTTCTTAATTTACTGAGAGGTGAACGAAGCCATTTAAATCTTCATTTACACACAAGTAAATGGTTTTGTTCCAAATCATATAGAAACTCCAGGTTAATTGTACCACTAGCAGTTATTTTACGGTATACAGCACAAAATAACCAACATACAACGCAACCCTAAGAAATATTTTTCCAACAATCAAAATCACTGCAGTTGCACAGTATAACCAATCACATCGTAATAGGGTTTCCATTGGCCATAAAAAATACTGAGGTTACCATAAATGAAACAACTTGGTGATAATCTAACGGGTACCCTATTTAGATTATTAAAAAGGTAATAGGTTTTAAATAATTCTAATGCTGAATGATATTTTGATTAATAAACAAGATATTTTCCTTGTTACATATACAAATCTTTCATCATGGGCCAATTATCATTGCTAGCAGAAATATTTTAAAGGAACGAAGACTTCTTTACAGTGTGGGTATTAATTTATGGAAGCACTTCCACAATGAACTGAAGACCTTCCATGTGTTTAATATCTGATAACTGTACACTGCTCATTGCCGGTCAGCTGTTGATGAGTAAAAATGCAATGGCACCAACGGGCTTGTTGTGAAAGAAAACTCTTAGTTTACAGCTATAATACATCATGTTAGTGTGTGGCTTCAAAACTAAATTACATGAAAAATTTAAAGAATTTTCATTCGTAAGTGGTGTATTAAAGTATAAACAAAATTAATCAAAATAGCAAGACATTTCATGTGTTAACTTTGATTTTAATATACATATGAAATAAGTTACTGTCATTAATGAGGAAATATTTTTATTTTTATTTATTATTATTATTATTATTATTATTTTTTTACTTTATACAGTATGTTAAGGAATTACTTAAACCAGTAACTGTCTATTTCTAGCCAAGACTAGAATACACCATCAATCAATTTATTGGCTGCTCTGCTCCGCGTGACTCTAATGGTCCGCACTACAGATCCAACTCCTCTGAGGGGCCACAGCGGAGGTTTTTGCTGGGTAATGACCCACTGCGACTGGCAGGCTGCTGGAACACACTATTCCCATTTTTCACTAAGGCCAGTTTAGCATTGAAGTGTCAAATTTTTCTTTGCAGTTATTCATTAACTTTGAATCTAGTAAAGGCCTACTATTGGCCCAAAGGTTGTTGAACACCAACAATTTGTCTTGGATTCAAGCAGGCTAAAAGCCAGTTCTCCTTAGAAAGGCCTCACAAAGATGCCTTTCTGATGCTCTTTATGATGCTTAAATAAGCACACCTACTCTATATTAACTGAATTGAAAATTTGGCATAAAAGCTGACAATTTCTTGAGAAAAGCAAACTGAAATAGCATAGTAATTGTGTATTCATTGTCAACTTCAGAGTGAAATGTTTGTGTGGGTATCTTACCATCCATCTCAATGATGTATCAAATGTTTAATATTTTTTGGGAGAGGGATAATCATTAAAGAAAGAAAATAATTACCTTTTTTTTTTAATATTTCAAAAATAAATTGCACTTCTTTTTTGTGTGTGCGCGTGCTGTTTTATTTCTATATACATAACAATCTGTTGTCACTGAAAAAATAAATAAATAAAAAGAAAACTTGGCATTGTGATGTGTCATGATTATAATCACCCCAAAACTGTTGGAACTTCAGTGTAATGAAAAAATGTCTTGCCATCATTTAGTAACACTTTAAAA